GAGCTAAAGTGGACCCTGCAGCTGTTTACCGAAAAGGTTTACTGTCACACTCTGCAGCACAAGAAAGGAACCGCTGCTATCGCCCTAAAATACACTGACATGTCAGGCGCTAGGTTTCCAAACAGGGTGTGCACTAGCATAGAGGTAGGTTTCAGAACTTTCCGCTTCGGTCATGGCGAAAATCAACAAATCAGGAATTCAAAACCTTATCTTCAGAAGGTGCGAATCTCGAAGAGAGCCGACGGTTCCGATAGCACCCACTCTAGTGGCTGTTGATAGCAAATCCATGTTCTATACACACACACACACACGGTCGCGCTAAACTAAGCGTGCGCGCAAACATCTAATCCTACGCGCCAGTCTCGGTGAGCCGCTCGAGCTGGGCGCGGCCACGCACTGCCATACTAGAGAAAATGAGGGTAAAAGCAAGTGGCAAATATCGTAACAGGTCTAATTTTTGTTACCCTCCCTTGTGCCCCACCCCTGCGCGGCATCTCCATTTGCTAATTAATCACGGTAAAAAAAAATAGTGTATATGGTAACGAGATAAATGCTTTACGGATGCCACGCCTCCTGCCACTAAACTGTAAAAGTACTAGCATATAGGGTAATGGAATTGAAAGGCTGCCACAGACACCACTACTAGGTCCTCTAATGGTAAATGAAAGATCATCTAGTAATTGGTTTATCATATATCAAAAGTAGCATTACCATGCATAGTGCATGTTAGTAAAAAGTGAAGAAACCTCGTAAAAGAGAACACTGATGATAATAGACATCACTACATTACTATGTTCACTTCAGTCTGTTGCTACATTCCATTAACTCATTAGTACATGCAAATTTTCCTAATCGTGCACAGCTACATTATGCAGAAATTATGTGGAGAGGCGCAATGAACATGGTCCATTACTACATTCCATGAACTCGTTACGATGGATTTTTCTCCCATGCTTTAGCAAATGAAGGTAAAAACACTAGTGAATATAGTAACAAATTTAATTTTCATTACTACAGCCACACGACTCATGATGGTAATAGACATCAGAACATTACTATGTTCCCTTCACTCTGTTACTACATTCCATTAACTCATTACTACATGTGAATTTTCCTAATCGTGGATAGCTAGATTTATGCCGAGAGGTGTAATGAAAGGATCCATTACTACATTCCATTAACACATTACGATGGATTTATGGCCCATGCTTTTGCAAATGAAGGTAAGCATGCTAGTGAATATAATAACACATTTAATTTCTGTTACTACAGCCATGCGAGTCACCCCGGCCCCACATGTCTATTTCCCTTACTATGTCTCGTTAATATATTACGATGGATTTTCCATCCGGTCTAACCGCTCGCGGAACAGAGGAATAGATGGTTCGGTCAGGCTAATTACCCCGCCGATGGCTGGTTGGCTTGGGTGACCGGAGCGTACGCTAGCTTATAATGCGCTCGGGAGTACTTTAGCAGGTATATATATATATATATATACAAGCAGTGGTAGTTACCATTACTTGCGTTTTGTATGTTGTATGTAGTATCTGTCAAAATTAAGAGTATGTACGTGTAGTATGTAGTATATAACAATGATTAGGTAGTATATATACTAATTTTTAGGTAGTATATACCATGTTTTGAGTATACTCTTTTTTACGTACAAATATGTACGTATTTCACAAATATAAAAAAAACTATGGGTTCATATGTAAGTTTTCATGTATTTGCTTTGAAATATCTTAGATATAGTATATGAATATATTTAAAATGATAAATTACTATATATAGTACCACATGGTAGTATATGAGACATATGAGGTAACTACCCCCCCCCCACACACACACACATATATATGTGTGTGTGTGTGTGTGTGTGTGTATATATATATATATATATATATATATAACTTTTTTGTTTGAATGTTTTTATGGTTTTTCAGCCGGGTTTTATGTACAAACTTTTTTGAAATTGGATAATTTTTTTTCCAAATTGATGAACTATTTTTCAAAATCGGTGAACTTTTTTCAATTTTGTTAACTTTTTTACGAAATTGCTGAACGTTTTTTTATAATTTATGAACTTGTTGACAAAATTCATGATTTTTTTAAAAAATTGATGACTTTTTTTCAAAATTGATGAAATTTTATTCGAAAATCGATGAAGTATTTTTCAAATACTAAATCTCCCTATATGTCGGAAACGAATGGCACGGACATTTTTAGACCTCCAACAATATTTCTAAATTGTCCGCGGACATGGATGGACAGTGACATACACCTCAAACCCCCCTAGTTTTCGAAACCATATCTGGGGAGGCCGCAACTACAGGGAGTCGAACTCACACAGTCAGCTTCACCTTCAAAACTCACTAACCAATCGAGCTACGGGCCTTGAATGGTTAGAAACAGCATGAAACGTGACATAACATGGTTGCAGCGCTGTTTGTTGCACCTAACTATGCACAGTATCGCGTCAATTTTTTTGAAAACAATTGTGATTAGAAAACTTTCATGGATTTTCGAAAAAGTTCATCATTTCTGAAGAGAAGTTCGCAAACTGGAAAAAAGTTCATCGATTTTTGAAAAGTGTTCATTAGATTCGAAAAAAGTTCACAGATTCAAAAAATAGTTCACCCTGTTTGAAAAAAGTTCATTGAATTTGAAAAAAAAGTTCACCGAATCAAAAAAAAGTTCACCGAATTAAAAAAAAAAGTTCATCGAATTCAGGAAAAGTTCATAGAATTCTAAAAAAGTTCATCGAATTCGAAAAAAAAGTTCACCCGTTCAAAAAATGTTCATCTAATTTGAAAACAATTCATCAAAATTGAAAAAAGTTCACCGAATTTGATAAAAAAAATTGTTAAAAAAGTTCATCGGAGTTGAAAAAAGGTTCGCGAGATTTGAAAAAAGTTCATCGAATTTGAAAAAGGGTCATCGATTATGGAAAAAGTTCATTGAATTTGTAAACAAAAAGTTCATCCATTTTTCATGAAACAAAAAGTGAAGAAAGAAAATTTCTCGATATGAAAAAAGAAAATTTGAGAAAAAAGAAAAAAGAAATGGAAAAAGGTAAGATGAAAGAAGAAAGGATAGAAAAGATGTAAGCTATCACAGCTGGCTAGGTGGCGCGGTGGTTGTTGCAGCGTCTCACTAAGCGGGAGGTTCTTGGGTTCGAATCTCCTTGCCTCGCCATTTTTTGCGCTATAAAAACATACAACGAACATTGATATGGGCCGGCCCATTAGTAGCGAAGGAAGGGAGTGGGGTGTGCGCCCGTTAGCAGGAATGCCTGTAACGGGCGCTTAAGGCGCCGAATAGGAATCAGCCAACTCATATGCACAATACATATTGGTGCGTCCTCCCACAACGCCCCAACATGGGCCGGCCCATTACGGACAATCAAAGCGCTAGGGAGCGGGTCTCTGTTGGCAGTTTTACTAAGGTGTCGGCAGCTTCTCATCCAATTTTAGGAAGCTTCCAGGCTGAGTTTTTTTTTTCACTTTTACTTCGTTTTTTTTGTTTCCTCGTTTTATCTCTTTTTTGTGGTACTCTTTTCATTTCATTTCTTCATTTTCTCTTTATTTTTAAAATTCATGAATTACTAAAAATTGACGGTAATTTTTTAAAATTTTGATCATTTTTTTCCAAATTTACAGACTTTTTTGAATCCATGAACATTTTTCGACTTTATGAATATTTTATGATTTTGCAAACCCATGAACATTCTCAAATTCGGAAATATTTTTCGTATTTGCAACTATTTTTCAATTAGTGAACATTTTTTAAATTCGTGAAAAACAGTTTGGTTTTACGAATACTTTTATTTAAATTCACAGTCATTTTTTAATTCAGGACCATTTTTTATTCGCTAATTGTTTCAAACTGGTGAATATTCTCTGAGTTGGGAAACTTATAAAAAAAACACGAACATTACTTTGAATTCGTACAATTTTTTTGTTACTTGGCGAAGATTTTTGAGTGTCGTGTGTTGCATCGGCAGCAAAGGACCCCAGATGCTTCTCCGGCTGGCGCCGACGCCTCACCACAGCTCCTCCCTTCCTCCGGATTCACGAGAAATCCACCACAGCACAGGCAGGCCCACGACCCAGAGGTGTGCTTGAAGCCGAAGAGGCGGCGCGAGATGGACGGGTGCTTGCGCAAGGATCTGGCTCTCCAGCCCGGGGCGCACGCCCGCCGCCTGTTTGTGAAAATGCCGCAGGCACTCGTCGGAGTCCCCGGCTCATGGTGGGTGTGTGGCGTGTCCATCCCTGTGCGCGCCCGCGCGCTTAGGCAAGCCGAAGGCGCCTGTGGGGATGCGGCCTCGCGTCGAGCACCGGCTGCTGAAAGAATCCCCCGCGTGGGACTGGTGAGCTCCATCCCACCTTGTGAATTTCGAAGTTTGTTAAGTGATGCAGAATGGTCTGGTTGTCTCAAATTCTTTTTGCTTGTGCAGATCATGTTCGTTTCTAAGTTGAAGATTCTTTGATCTCCATTTGACTTTTATGGATCTTGTTTTCTCCGAGTCCAAATAGAAGAAACTGGTGCTGCCATAGTAGTAGGATTTTGATGATGCAACTTCTGTCCAATGACGAAAAGGAGTTATTGCAGGCTGCTTCTACTGAAAAAGATGGAAACGCGTCCAAAGAGATCCGAGCAGAGTTTGGAAGAAATGATATTTGCAGAGTTTCCGAGCAGTCCTGTTCCTATCAAACGCGGAGACTTTTATTTGCAAAGCAAGAGGGGCCCATCTCAACCTGTTGAATTTTCTGTGCATGTGGGACCCCCTCGTGGAGCTATATTGTCGTTGCTTTGCTTTGTTTTTGACTAGATGACTGGACTAGTCCGGCCTTGGCTGGTGAGTGGTGACCGCTGGGTGCTACAATCTACCCAAATGGCATTGGTTTTCTCCAAAGGTTTCTCTTGTCCCTGTGGCTGTAGGATGACGGATCGCTAGTCGTGCAAGCAAGCAAGCAGAGAGATAGAGAGAGCGCGAGGATATGGACATCGCGCAGCCTGCAGGGGTGGATGCGGTGAAGCTTGTGGTGATGATCGTCCAGGCAGCTCAGACAGTTCGCCACAACAAGAAGACCTGCCAGCAGCTCGTCAGCCGCGCGCAGATGATCGGTGGCCTGCTGGAGAAGCTGCAGGGCTCGGAGAAGATGCAGCAGCCAGAGATACGGAGCCCGCTGAAGGTGCTCGAGGGCGTCCTAGGCGAGGCCCACGCGCTCGTCAAATCCTGCCAAAACAGCAGCTATGTATACCAGTTCTTGATGGGCCGGAAGCAGGCTGATCAGTTCCGTGTTGTGCAGAATAAAATAGACTCGTATCTGCTGCTCTTCCCACTCATCAGCCACATCGAAACTGCAGCTCAACTGGACCAAATTCTGAATGCCGTACGGCCACAGGTATGCCAGTAACCAACAAAAGTTGTTCTTTTCCCGGCCACGTTTGGTGCATCAAATAAATGCAATGGATTTGTTTTCTGAAGTGTGTCTGTGTACGAGTAAATAATATGGAGCATTAATCTCATGAGTATGAAAAAAAATAGATACCTATGTTGCCATTGGAGGCTGCTGAAGTGATGCCAAAGTTACTTAGTGGCTGCTCAAACTACGGTGCTACTAGGTGCTCATCTGGTGATGCCAGGTTAGAGATATGTGGTACCTTCCCAGAAAAAGAACCATAATATATGCAATATACCTTTTGTTATAACATATGCACTGTTTGATGCATGTTTATATGAAGATAATAAAAGATTCACTGCTAGTCTTTTCAAAAGAACAAATTCAACTCTGCACGTCAATTCAATTAGCAACTCATGGGAAATTTAATGAAGTTTTCAGGTAGGAATTTAAGAAAGAATAGCCCACTTGGTGATTTATATTCAGTAACATTTCTGTTGTAGTTCTTGTTCTAATCTTTCAATGATGTCTAGAAATCTATCCTCGTAGAAAATACAAATGATGATTGTTGAATTTCTTAGCGGCTATATTTCCCTGTATGAAACTTGCGATGTAAACTGTGAGTTGAAGTATTTCCCCTGTCTATTGCGCTACTACGTCTTACACACGCACTGTCTGAATTGAACACAAACTCTAGAGTGGATTTCCACGTTGGTATTCAACTCAAAGTCTTATCGGTTCAGACCCATCAAACGTGACTATTTGATTATATGGCCACAGAAACGGATCCAACAACTAAAATAATTAGGATGATAGAATGTGTGATTTCTCGCATTGATTGCACAAATGGTAGTTTGCAATTACGCATCCTCATTCCTCAATTAATCTTGGATTTTTTTATAGTTATTTGGTTATATGTTTGCAAAGTTACCATACAAGAACAAAGCTAGAATAACAACACATGATTTGAAATATTTCCATTCGTTTTTACATTTGATAGAATTATTTTGTGTAAACTCCATTCATACAGTATCCAGTTTATGTACATGGCAGAGTTAGGTTTTGTCAAATTCATGAAAACAGTACACGACTGAACCTTCTATTGACCGTGATTTGTAGGGTAGAAAGGTTACATCTTTCTTTCTGAGATACTCATAATAATATTCACTGACCACACTATGTTCCTTGAAAGAATTTCACATTATATATTTTTTATTGTTCTGCAATGGCAGGATTGAAGTTTGTGGTATATCCGAAAGAGTTCACGCAATAAATGAGCCATTTGCTGTAAAGGAAAGCCAGCAAGCAGGTATTTCAGCAGTCCTATTTACTGGTTATATAGCGATATCTTATCCTCCCACAATTCTTCAGCAGTCTTTGCTGAAGTTTTCTTTACTACCTCGTGATCCCCCTGACTATATTTTTTAAATAACCCCAGTTGCCTAGACAATATACTTATGCTTCAACTATCGCTCCATGATACAACAATTCTTAGATGAGTTCTCTCTGTAGGCTCTTCAAATGTTGTCGAATCATTATCAACCAATCAAAGCAGAATGAGGCGCCATTGCTGTGGAGAGCATAAGGAGTCACCCACAATTCATAGGCTTACTGGTGACGAAGGTATGGATGAGCTAGAAATCAGTAATTCAACATGGAAACTCAAGTCTTGCATGCAGGTTAACAGGTCCGGTGCATGCACTATACTAGTACAGTACAAATGAAGCTAGATCCACATCATTGTCACAATTTACCCTTATTCATTTAAATTTGTAATCTTACAGTTCTTACTGGAATGTTGCTTATTCAATCCTATTGGTCTATGTTATACTGGGACAAAACCTGAGAGCTTAGATTGCCACCATGAATCTCAAACTTGTTTTCCATAACAGGGTCCTTCAAGTTCAATTTCTTCCAGTTGGTGGATGCTACCAAAAAATTCTGCCCTGCAAACCAGATTGGAAAAGGTACCTTTGGCTGTGTTTACAAGGTAAGATAATGATTTTGTCAAAATCCGCCCCCCCCCCCCCTAGACTTCCTTTTCCACCTCTTCTCAAGCGCCTTGTGTTTTTCTGAAGTTCCAGTTTATACTACATTAATTTTGAAAGGAGATAGTCAAATCACAGGTACCAAATAGCATCTGAACTGAAGATAATCACTTGCATTACCGTATTGTTCTTTAGGTTCCCCAGTCAGTTTGTTCCTAAAGATTGATCATCTGCATTTGTTGTTTGCATTCAGGGTCGACTACGTGATGGACTTGAAGTTGCAATCAAAAGACGTTCTGAAGTTCCTCCGTCACCTAGTCAATTGGATTTCCAAAATTTGGAGTTTAGCAATGAGGTTTGCTTTCTTACTGAACTTCAGCATACCAATATTGTCAAACTTCTGGGATGCTGCATCCATGGAGCAGAGAGAGTTTTGGTCTATGAATATATGGCCAATGGAAGCTTCGATACCTTCATCTTTGGTACATGCTCATGCTCACCAGTCACCACTGGTTAATTTACTTTGGATTTCGACCAGATTTTCTGTGACCATCTAGTAATCTCCTTGGCTTAACATCTTTTAGGTGCAAGAACAAAAAGGGCCTATCTTGACTGGCCCACGCGCTCCAAAATAATGAAAGGGGTGGCTGAAGGACTTCTGTATCTTCATAAGCAGTGTGGGCTATACATTATACATGGAGATCTAAAGCCAAGTAACATTCTCTTGGATTCTGACATGAATCCCAAGATCTCTGATTTTGGCATAGCTAGGAAGTATAGCCCCGGTGTGGATGAAGAGTTTACTGACCGCGTAGTGGGCTCGACGTAAGATGTTATTTGGATTCTGGTTGATATATACAGAAAAGTTCCATTTCATATTTTCATTTTTCTGAATAAGCCCATTTTATTTCCATGTTTCAGTGGTTTTATTGCCCCAGAATATCAGAAAAGAGGACTTTTCTCAACAAAGTCTGACGTGTATGGCTTTGGAGCATTGCTTCTTGAGGTCATCAGTGGCAAGAGGTGCTTCTCACTTTCAAGTGGAGCTGATTATGGTGTTTTGAATAAGAGGGTAAGTAAAACCTTTTGAATCATATGCATGTGCCTTTCCCAACTATCCACTTAATGCTACTCATCTGCACTACCAGTTGCTTCTGAAATCACCATCTGTAATGAGTTATGTGTATCACCTCAGGCCTGGGTGTTATGGGGTAGAGGAAGATTGATGAAGCTTGTCGACTCTCACTTGCGCGGTGAATCTCATGCAGCAGAGATAATGAGGTGCATCCAGATAGCATTGTTGTGTGTGGAGGAAGACGCGGCGAACCGACCCACCATGCAGGAGGTTGTTCTGATGCTGAGCTGCCAGAGTGTTGTGTCGCCTACACCTCAGCGCCCGGCTTACCTGAGTGCTGAAATGGCAAAGCCTACAATTTAAGACCACGGAACTCTTCTTTCTGCCAGAACCGGTTTGTAATCGAAGTTGCACATATTGTACATCGACTCTGTAGTGTGTGTTTTGTGGCATAGCAGCTCAAGTACTACCTGATGTTTTCATCTGCTGGGAAAACAAGCTGTAGAAGATATTACTCAAGAGTGTTGAGACCAACCTCATTTCAGGCAGCATAATGTTGCAACTGATTTCACGGAAGACAGTAATTTGTCCGGTCCGCAGACGTGTATCCTCTCATTTTGTATTTACTCTTAGTCCCTTAGAATTTTTGTTGTTGTTTCTGAAGATTCCTCCAGGTTGAACGTAACAATTCCAGTCCTTTGTTTTACCATTTTTTGGATATTACCTAGAGAAGAGTTGTTGATCGAGTGAGAGACGTGCCAGTGGCTTAGACCACCTACAGCTGGACATGGCAAATCCGGCCCTTCAAGCGCGGGCGCGTCCGCGGACATTGACCGGCCACTTCTCAAATTGCGTCGGCCATATCCACGTATCAAATATCCGATCCCCTGTATACATATTAAACTATGGAAGGTCGATAAAAAGAATGTATATCACAAGCGGACATAAAAACGGACATACAAATGCACGATCCGTTCACCAAAAGATCACACCTGGATCTTCAAAAGATCACTAAAGTTCACATAATGTACATAATACGACGAACAACTTTAAACTACATCTATAAAGTAGAAATTAAAGTGGAGAAGGCGGATCTTAACCACTTCCTCATCGGTCCTTTCCCCTTCCAGGGGCCGGCACAGTTGTACGCGTCGACGGCGAGTGGTGGATTGTTTGAGTTGTCCGACGAGGAGCCATAGTCATCGTCATCGTCGTCGTCGGAGGAGGAGGAGGACTCGGCAAGGATGATGAGCCCTTTGAGCCCCCGGACGGCCCTGTCCTGCTATCGCTTGAGCTTCACTAGCCCAGCCGCCTCCGCCCCTGCCTCCATCGCCTCGCGCTCGGATTGCTCAATGGCAATCCGGAGCACCGTGGCGTTCTTCCGGCGGACCCACCGAGCGTATGTATCCTCCGTCGTAAGCAACGAGCGGTAGACCCAAGCGAGGAGTCGCTCGTCCTCGTTGGGCTCCATGCGACGACGCACAATTTTCTCTGCCGCGTCCTTCTCCCTTGCCCGCTGCCTCTTGCGACGGGCGGCGCGTGCCTTCGACTCCGCCGTTCGCATCCAGGGCGACGGGGCGGGCACAAGTACCCACTGCTGCCTACGTGTGGGAGCTGGAGCTGGTGGGGGGCATGGAACGGCGTGGCGGAGGCGTGGAGTGTGCAGTCCTCGTAGAGCCACACGCGGGCCGGGAGGGGCCAGTGCCGGCGTCTGCTCTCCGCCGGCAAGGGAAAGGCGAGACGGCAGATCCAAAATTGCCCTCCATGTCCACCTTGGACCTCTCGACGGCAATCTGAAGGTCCAGCTCCTTGTCGGCATCCATGTTGGAGTCGGAGCGGCTGCTGGAGCTCGACATGGTCGCCAGAGTCATTGGACTGGATCAGAATCGAAGAAACCGGAGAAGAAGAGACGAAGCAAGAGCCGAGTGAACTGAGGTAGGGTTTTCCGATTTGGGATATTTATGGAGACGGAGTGGGGTTGGGATGGGCCGGGTTGACGTGGCGGAGGCAGACGCGCCCGGGCCGCCCCAAAATCCGTTCTAAATTTGGGCTGGAGTGCTCGAAGCGGACACTACCGGGCCCCCAGCAAAACTATCGATCGACGCACACACGGGACACTTGAACGAGACGGCAGTCCTTCGCTGGCTCGCTTTTTTTTATGGGAAACACTTCCTATCATACATCTGATAGGAAGCAAACATCAGTCCGATTCCTTGCCGTTAATTCCAACACCATCGCACGGTCCAGAGCTCGTTGAGAAAATCGGTTCAATGCACCCGATTACCATGCACCTTCCTTCAATTACGTACCTCATAACTCCCTCGTCCCATCTCTGTCCCAAAAATCTCGCCACTTTCTTCTTTCTCTCTCCTGCCTACCTCACCGATGAGACGTCGTGCCTTGGTTCTCTCCACCAGCGTTGCCTGCCTCTAGTGCATCTAACCCTCACCACGGCGGAGCTCACCCTCCCTGCCCTGCTTCTGATGCACCGAATTGCCTAACTCGCAATCCTCCTCGCATCCATCTAATATATCTGTTGTTGTTGCCCAGGTTTGGATCCCTTGCCCCACACGAACTGCACCATGATCCAATGCGGCACCCGGTCCACCGCTTCAGTGCTAGACCCCGTCTCTTTCCTTACCAGATTGTGCATGTTGCTTGCTATCCAAGGTGAGATGGAGCAGCGCCATGGTGCTGTGATGTCCAGGGCAGCGGCGATGCGCAGGATGCTTTCGAGTGGTGGGGCATGCAACTTCGAGCATATGCCTACAATGGCAGCTGCAACAATTGAGGTGGGGGCAAGAACTTTTCCCAGGGGACTACCTCCCATCCAGGTCAACCTCGCTGGACTGTGTGTGGCCATGCCGTTCTTTCCCTTCGCTGGAGTCTCGTCGCCTTCCATGTCGCTTGCTGCTTTGGTATCCACCATCGTCATCGCAGTGGTTAATATGTGAAGCTTGTATGGAAGCATACTTTCCAATAGATGGAAGCAAATTCGTAGACAATAGGAAGCATGTCATATGAACATATGAACCACTCTAATGTTGACCGCTTAAAGAAGCAAATATACAGCCTCGCAAAAGAAGAGAAGCAATGAAACATATTTTGTAAATGGACGAAGCATGGTAGCTTCATGAATAGTAACATTGTACCACTCACATTGAAACTTCTCCATGTTGCCGAGGAAGCAAGTTCTTAGTCAGACGAAACATAGTATTCATGCGATTGAAAACAAAGAAATTATTACATTAGGCAAAAGTTTACGTCGTATCGAAGAAATAATCCCAAAAAGATTAAATTATTACTGGAAACACATTTCTCTAGGTGCAAGAAAGTATAACAACACACGTTGGACAAGTTTTTGTCACATTTTCAGCTAGATGCACATTTGCAATTCTGTGTTTTTTGTTGTTGTTTTGGAAATAAAACAAACTATTAGATTGAAGTAAAGTTCAGCTGCGCTTGAAGCAAATTCTCTAATCATTGGAAACAAAAATTTCATTGCATCAAGGGAAAAAATTTAGTACATTACAAACAATATTTTGATGGATAGAAGCAAATCCGAGTACTGTGGAAGCAAATTTATTAGCGTTGGAAACATTTTCGTGAAATAAAATTTCCTACAAATAACAAAAGTAAAAGCGGAAAACTACAGAATAACTAGGGTAACATTTCCTCCCGTGATTTTTGGCTGGAGTTAATAGCAAACCGAAATCAGGGGATCCCTTTTATATAGAAACTAACTACGGCAACAGATGTGCACGTTATGAGGGGAGGTCTAATCAACGAACCACACCGCTCTAATCCAATGGTTACGGGCTGGTCTGATAGGATGATAGCTATCAGTAGTCTGATTGTTAGTGACTCCCTTTATTTATAGGAGTTCGCTCGCTCGCTTCTGCTGCTTCGCTTTTGTCAAAACAGATGATTGGCTGGCTAACCATCTCATAGTTCCCGTTGACTTTTCAAAAAGATTAGAAAAGTAAAAAAATGTAAATATGAAAAGAGTTCATTTTTTTAAAAAAAAGTTCATCAATTTTGAAAAAAAAAACACATCAAATTTTAAAAAGTTCATTGTAGTTGAAAAAAAGTTCACCAAATTTTAAAAGAATTCATCAATTTTGAAAAAAAAATCACAAAGTTGAAGAAAAAGCTCATGCATTTAGAAAAAAGAAAAAAAAAGACAGAACCGTTCCAGGAAAAAAATAGAAGAAAAAAGAAAACAAATAAAAAGCTGCAAGTCAAAGGCGAAATCACTAGTTAAGGAGTACTCCTTGCTGAGATCACTCCAACTTTCCCAGGTTGCGTTGTGCGCCACTTGTCGCAACCGGGAAGTTTTCCCTTTTTTCGTAGATCCGTTTATTCAAAACATTTTATCTCTTAAACTGTGCGTCCAAATCTCGAACCGCTTTTGCCGTTGGATTCCTTGCGTCGAGATCTTCAAAACTAGATCCCATGTTGATAGGTTTTGACGAACTTTTTTTTCACGAAAAAACCGAATGAAAAACCGACGAAAAAACCGAACCGGAAACATGAGTTTTTTTTCCCTTTCCGAAAGAGGCACGCCCGTGCCTATGACGAAATCACAACCATGCCTCTCGTGAAAGAAAAAAAAATTAAAAATGCATTTTTTCCCTTTCCGAAAGAGGCACGCCCGTGCCTCTGACGAAATTACAATCGTGCCTCTCGCGGAAGCAAAACCATGCCTCTCGCGAAAGAAAAAAAAACAGAAAACACATTTTTTTCCTTTCCTAAAGAGGCATGCCCGTGCCTCTCGCGAAAGCACAACCGTGCCTCTCGCAGAAGCAAAACCGTGCCTCTCATGAAAGAAAAAAAACAGAAAATGTGTTTTTTTCGTTTCCGAGGAGGCATGGCCGTGACTCTCGCGAAAGCACAACCGTGCCTCTCGCGAAAGCAAAACCGTACCTCTCACGGAAGAAAAAAACACTTTTTTTTCGTTTCCAAGTGGCACGGCTATGCCTCTCACGAAAGCACAACTGTGCCTCTCACGAAAACAAAACTGTGACTCTCACGGAAAAAAAGTGTGTTTTTTTGCGCAATTTTTTTTTCGGTTTTTTATCAAAAAGCTAGGGAAGACCGGTGGAAAACCAAAACATAAAAAAACCGGAAAAAACCGTTTAAAAAGCCGAAAACGCGTGCGGAAAAATAAAAAACAAAAATCAGAGGGAACGCCCAAAGCGCGACACGTGGCGAATGGCTGAGAGTGCGCCAAGTGACGCTGATCGTTGCGAGGCTCCCAAAGGAGCGCTCGTTAATTAGTTGCTCCCAGTCAAAGGTGAGGTGTCTCGGTTGGTTAGCACAGCGTGCATATAACCAGGAACTCACGGTTTGAATCATGCCCA